CAACCCACACACCATCACCAATCATCTTAGTCAATCTTCCAACTTTTGTCATAGTCACCACCCATCCACTTGTTCAACAAAACCTACACTACACTGAACTTCTTTGATCGTCTCCACTCTTCTTCATCCTTATTTGATTGTCTTCACTCTTCTTCATCCTTCTTCAATCTTCTTGGATTGGCTTCAATCCTCTGTAATCTTCTTTTACCAGCGTCAATCTTCCTTAGTATTCTTCAATCGGCTTCAATCTTATGTAATCTTCTTTGATCGTCTTCACTCTTCTTCATCCTTCTTTGATCGGCTTCAATCTTCTTGAGTATTCTTCGATCGGCTTCAATCTTCTTGAGTATTCTTCAATCGGCTTCAATCTTCTTGAGTATTCTTCGATCAGCTTCAATCTTCTTCTTTAGTATTCTTCAATTGGCTTCAATTGGCTCCAATCTTCTTCAATCTTCTTTGATTGCCTTCCATCTTATTTGATCAGCTTCAATCTTCTTTGTTTTTTTTTCTCAGAGCTTTGTCTTTCAACATCATGAACCGTCCCAATTGTCCCTTGTGTCAAAATACTCTCCGTCAAGGCAGACAGCAAATATGTGAACCGTGCCTTGAAAACATCAATGCGGACCAAAACAAAATAGTTCCTCAATCTTCTCAACCCCGTCAGGCCCAACCAAATCTTCCCAACCCCGCCCTGCCAACCTCAAGGTCATCAATGCCAAAGCAGTGCTACAACAGAATGTGCTTATATCCTGGAAGAAGTACTTGACATTACACAATACCGCAAGTATACCAGCAATCACAACTTTGAACTCTGTGATTCTGATATTCCTTTGGTCAATGAGGTGATGCAAGGTCTCAGTCATTGGTCTCATAAACACTATGACGGAAGAATAAAGGTTGCGGATCTTCAGGGGGTGGGTTTGGTATTGACAGTCACAGTCCTCTGGCAAGCCAAACCGGCCTTTGATTTTTGCTTTGATTCTTTGACTGACATGTTCTCTTCCAACATCCCGGACTGGATCCCGTTGGGCATTGTGTTGTTGAGCCTTCTTCCGCTTTTGGTACTTGACCAACTTTTGCTTGCAGAGGTCTGATACTGGTTTTGGCATCTACGGAAAAAAACATTGTTTTGATTAGTGGTATGTTCAACACTTCAAGATTTTGGAATTTGTGTGGGGATGCCGTGAAATAATGATCAAAGTGAATAAACATTGAGTGATTGAATATTTGATGGATTGAATGTTTGATTTGGGAAATGAATCAATGTGAGATTTTATGAATGATTGATTGATTGAATGAGTATTGAGTAATTTCTTGAGGATTGAAATCAGGAAGCACCGAGATACATTTAGCAAAGGGTTAGGCTGGTATTTGGGGGTCCCCTCGGTCACTTGCCCTGCCCTTCACAAGACATAAGCATCTCTGCATGTATCTCAAGTACTTCCGTCTTCCATGAGTCAATGTGAATAACCTTGAGCTGTAAATCTTTGGATATAAGTGAATTTGCATATGTGAATAATTGTTTGAAGGAATGATTGATAAAGTAATTTCTTGAGGATTTAAATCAGGAAGCACTGAGTTACATTTAGCAAAGGGTTAGGCTGGTAGTTGGGGGTCCCCTCGGTCACTTGCCCTGCCCTTCACGAGACATAAACATCTCTGCATGTATCTCAAGTACTTCCGTCTTCAATGATTGTTGGTGAGTAAATCATGAGTGGTAAATGTTTTGAATTATATGAGTCTTCTTTTGCGATGAATTGAACAGATGTTTGAGAAATATTGATTGATTTATTAATCTACATTCAATTATTATCGGCTTCTTGTGGATTCTTCAAGGTTCTATTTCTTCTTGAGGATATAATATTTGTTCTTATATGTTCTGTCTTCATCATGTTGAAGTGTAAGGAA